GTTGGATGGTAGGTTAATGTTTTCACTTTCAAGATTTGGAAAGTCTGGACCATCTGAAGACAAAGCCCTAGTTTGTAAAATTGGCTTGTTCAACAATTGTCTATACTCACCCAAATCAGTCGTATTTTTGTTTACCAACTCAAATAATTGAGCGTCTATCAGTACGTGAAATCAATCCATCAATGCGCTCATCCAAAGAAGCAAGACGAAGGTTTACCTGCTGGTAGTTTCTGTTCATCCCAACCACCAGTTGGTGAGTCTCCTCCACCATTTGGCGAAGTGATGGTGCTGCCTCGCTTGGATCTGCATTAGGCACCATGTTTGGCGCCTCTGCTCCAACATTGTTCCCTTCTGCTTGGTCAACTTCAAGGTTAACCAACTGGCCCTCCTCGACAGCACCTTGTGGAGGATCACCATCATGTATCCTTTGTCGTGGATCCATATCGAATACACGTTATCCCACCCGGTGTGCCAACTTGTTTCAGGTGGAATTTCGTGTGATCAATGCACCCTGGCTTCAAGAAAATAGAAAACGATGTTACTCGGTTCACACCTCTTCAAACACTATTCGAACGAGGGTGTTCGATGTATACATCAAAGGATCTAGCTACTTTTACCTCTACTCCTATGGAGATTCCTTGAGAGCTCTGAAACTACTAACTACCACTAACAGAGAAGCCTCGTTGGAGGGTCCCTGGTGCTACTGCTACGGTTACTGTTCTAGAGAGAAAAGATAAATTTTGACGAGACGGTTTGTAATTTGATTTGTCTGTCCTTCCTCCATAGCCCTACTGCAAGTTTTGTTGTGTCTCACCCTCTAAATGCCTTCTATCTCTTCCCGAAAATCAGGTCCACGTAGCATCCAGTAACTCCTCTGAGCGTCCTTCGCAAGTCAGCTATTGCTTCTGGTAACTACCTTTGACACATCATCATGTCCCTAGACAATCAACCCTACGTACCATGTATGAACAATTAGATGGTCACCATACACCAAATAATTTGGATGGTATCCATGTTATTGGACACTACCATCCATTATTGGATTTGGATCGTATCCATGTTTTTGGACACTACCATCCTTTAATCCTAAGACCCAAACTTGATAAATTGGATCATCCATGTACACATGGACGATCTTCTTAAATTGGCCAAGTTGTTCATACAAGCAATAATTAATGAAAATTATTTTGGTGTAAACAGTTCGCCATCGGCCGCCTCTGTTCTGATGCTTCTGTTGATGGGTGTTGTTTGGTTGCTAAAGGATTTGGCCAAGCGTGGAACAGTTGCAGGCGTTAGTGCTTTTGGCGTGGGGGTTTCGTTTGTCTCCGTCATGGTACCATCTTAATGAATCCATTTAAAAAAAATCTATAACTTGCTCCAACTCTGTCTCGGGATGATAATGCTCAAACTCGATTTTCAGTTAAATTGGTTTGGAACTCCATTCAATCCCCTAAGTGAAATGGTATCATGTGGTTGGGAAGAAGACATTGTTTGCTAAGCATAGCCTGCTTTTATGGCCAATTATCTTGGATCAGCTAGTTACTAAAGAAAAATTGCTAAGTCACGGTCAATTGTCGGAGCAAACATGTGTATTATGCCCTGATAGGGAAGAATCGAGGGATCACTTATTTTGTTCATGGACTTACTTTGATTGGACTGTTCGCTGTGTGTTGAGAAAAGCCTGTATTGACTCATTTTTTGTAGCTTGGAAGATAATTTTGAATGGGCAATCTGGACCTAGCAGTGTCACTTGGAGAGTAAGACGCAGAAAAGTGTATGGTAGATGCTGTTGGAGCAATGGAGCTCCCACAGGCAGCTTGCAAAGAGGGATTTATCGGAGGATTGGATTTTCATTAGCAGTGTAACTCTTTCTTAGACAAGAATGCATAGGTTTATATAGGGAGCAGTTCCTTTCCACAACCTTGCATTCTGTAAGTGTCCACAACCTTATGGTCAGAGTGTCCACAACCTCCAGAGATTCGTTGTCCAATGCAATTAAAGTGGGACTGGCAGATAAGAGGCAATAATTAGATGAAAGAGAAAATTAAAACAGTAAACTAGTCGTCCATGTGACAGTTCAAACAAGTGTTACTACCTTAAGACAAAATATGTTATTTTTGGTGGGATATCATTGAGAAATAGAAAGAATCGTATTATCAAAAGATTTCCTGCGATTATTTCAAATAGGGAATGAGTCAACCGTCTACTTTAGTATCTTCTAGAAGAAAAATGGTGATATTGCTCCTCGATTGATAAATAATTCTATATTTGGAAATTATCATGGTCATCCAATAAGAGGGGTTTCGATTTTTTCAAATGAATGATTTGAAGATGGATTGTTACGAATTTGCAGAAAGAAAAATAAGAGGATCGAACCATTTCTTCTGACTCAGTTTCAAAATTTGATAAATGTTGGTTAATCGTATATTTCATTATAGTTATATGATTCAAAGTAGCATTTCCTATTCGATCCCTTTCAATTCCGTAATCGATGTTACAATAAGATCTATTCATTAACAAGATTTGATTCAATACATTTCTTATGTACTCATACATATACATGGTATATTGGATTTGAATCAGATTTCGGATAAAGTTATATTGATTGACTGCCTACATTGTATTGGTGCTAGCAAATATCACTATTTTTACTTTTGGATCTTCCAAATCATTCTTGAAGATGATCCGGACCCATTTTTTTTATCCTTCGATAAAAAGATTCATTCTCTTCGAAGCCACAAATGTTTAACGCACGGTAGCAAAATGCAAGCAGGAGGGAGAATAAATCAAAAGACTCGAGACTCGTGCCACCAAAAGGAAACCAGGCAGGCCATCATAAGAAATATGGGCCAAGCCTAAAGATACACGAAGCCCACACAAACTCCTTACAAACACACACGCATGTAGGATATTTAACGATAATTAGAAGTCCGAAAGAACCAAAAATCCAAGGGTAAAGACAATTTAATAGCCAAACCTTTCACCCGAAAACAAAATAATAGCCAAACCTTTTCGAAAACATTTTATTAGCCAAATCGTCAACTCTCCGTCTGGTCAGTCGTCAGTTGACTCTGACGTGGAAAGATACTGTACACGTGGCACATTTTTTTTCTGTCGTGGCACCTAATTAAAATTAATGGAAAAATGAAATAAGAAAAGGGGAAAATCAACACATTATCTAATCACTCTCTCTTTTCATTCTCTTCCACCCATTCTCCTGGTTCGAATTCCTCCCTCAAAGAAGAAGCCCTCTCCTCCTCCGGCGAAACCAAACCCATCGCCCACCACAGAACCAAAATCAACGGCGCCGACTTCGTCCCTCGTCATGTGAAAGCCGGAAAAAGCTAGCGTCGCTCCCGGCCGTGCATTCCCAGGCCGGGGCTTTTGGCGAAGGACACGTCGGAGCGCTGGCGAGGAGACAGACGAAGCGCTGGCGAGGAGACGACGGAGTGCTGAAGTTCATCCCTTTCCCCAATGGCCTCTTCCTCACCCCTCTCTATGCCGACAGCAAACACGGCGGGAAACCTTGAGTTCTCAATTCTGCCCCACACCGACCCGTCTTCTACCTCCTTTGAAGCGATGACGATGAAAAACCTCGTCCTATTCCTCATTCACAGCAGATTCCTAATACCTCCTCCCAACAACAGTTCGCCGCTTTAGATCTCGTTCATCGATCCAGCGCAGGTCATGCGGCTGGTAGTCGCTACCAACCCAGATCTAAATCTGCAGAATCCGATTCCCTACAATATCCGTCTCTACAACTTCATCGAAAGGGCAGATGAGGATCCAACTCATGTGACGGAGAGACATCAACCGATTGGGGAAAGTTTCCCAAGCCAAGATAAATGATGTCGGACAAAAAAGAGAGGGTTGAGAGATCGGGATACGAAGCAGAGAGAGAGGGAGCGAGCAAAAGGAGAACTGGGTTTCCAAAGCGGCGGCGATAGGAATTGCGTTGGGGCTCAATCTGCATAATCATCTTCGTTGTCAAGCCCCGCCAGAAATCGTCATCATCGGTTAGGATCAAGGCCCTTCTTCTTCATCTTCGACCTTGGGTACTGAATCTCTAGATTCGTCGCCATCTGCTGGTGGGAGGGATTGCATCGCGGAATCTAATTGGGACTCTATCTCCGTCGCGCGTGCAGGAGATATCATTTGGCGGCGATGAGTTGGGGCCGCAGTAGCAACTAGCAAAATGATGAGGTTGTCTTCGGCTGCCATGGAGAAGTTTCACTAGTGAGAGAGGGTAAGGAGGGGAACAAGATACAATATTTTTCTTTTACTTTTCCATAACAATATAAGAATTAGTTTAAATTTATGATTATCTAGTCAAATGTTTGATTTTGTGCCACGTCATCAAATTCATTCCACCTCAGTAATGATTTTGCCACATTATAGTCAACTAACAGTTGACCGGACGGAAAGTTAACGGATTGGCTATTAAATTGTTTTCGGAAAAGTTTGGCTATTATATTATTTAAAATGAAAGGTTTGGCTATTAAATTGTATTTACCCAAAATCCAAATACTCAAAAGCCCACAGACCCAACTAACCACTCTGTCTTTACAATCAATATATCCTGAGCCCAATTATTTCAAAGCGGGACCGGAGGCAGCTCCCGCCACAAGAGCCCTCAGGCCAGGCGAGCGATATGTTTCTCTCTAGACGGAACAGAGTCCCTAACCGCATCCACATCGAGAAGGTTCTTCATCCATTTGAATAGTCGAGGGACTCTACCTTCGGTCATCAGCCTCAGGCCATCCTCCACCGCCCTGGCTTCTTAAATCACATAAAACCAGTACGCCATCGTGAACCCCACAATGTCCAGCATTCCGATCCTCTCCCCGCCGAAGTACTCCTTCCCTTCTCCTCCCAACTCATTCTCCAGCAGCTTCAACTACTCATCCAATTCCCCAACTATCTTCTCTATCTAACCTCTGGGTCTCGTCCTCCTGCTCTTTGCCGACATCTGTAAGATCTGGGAATCATCACAGCCAAAATCAAATATAATCAGCTAGACAGACTGATCGAATCAGAAACGGGGGAAAGGAGATTCGATTTTGGTTTATTGTTACATCGACGAATCTCATCCAGAATCGGGCAGTGGATCGGGCATGAGGATCTTCGGGGAGGAGTGGGTGTTGGTTGTTGTTCTTCCATATGTCTTCGATGTACTCGAGGATGACTAGAGATTCAGAAATGGGTTTGCCGTTGTGAATCAGGACATGGATTTTCTTGTGGGTTGTGCCAAATTTTGTAACCGAGAATGCGTAAAAAAATGATTATTGCATAAAACGGTGGTTTTTCTAGTACACTGTACAACCTTATATAGTGTTCACCAAATTACTAATTAGTACCTACAAAACTACTTATTACAATAACTAGCCAGTAAAACAACAAAATTACAGATTTGTTCTCTATTCTATAACTATATCTAACACCCCCTCAAGTTGGAGCATGTATATCACACATGCCCAGCTTGCCTACTAACTCTAAAACCTATGTATCTATAGTAATTTGGTGAGTATGTCAGCAAGCTTTTTCTCTGTGCTGTGATAATACATCTGCTATTAGGATTGCAGAAAGCTACGTAGCTCACTAAACAAATAGCTTAACCATTGTAATTCACATGAAAGATCAACCATTGCTCTATATTCTGCCACTGCAGATGAACGGCTCATCGTGGTCTATTTCTTTGATCGCCAACTTATCAAAGACTTACCCAGGAAAACACAAGAACCAGTGGTGGATCTACGTATGTCTGGGCAGCCAGCCTAGTCTGAATCCAAGAATGCAGAAAGACTTAAGGCTGAATCTGCTAGGAAAAACATACCCATGTATGGATTATTCCTAATAAACCTAACTAACATAGTAGCAGCATTTATATTTAAATAAGCGGGATGAATAACAAACTGAGTTAAGTGATGGACAACATACTGAATATCTAGACGAGTGGTGCAAAGATACATTAATCGTCCTACTAAACGCCTATAAGCAATGCAGTCAAAAACGCGATTCTAGCTAGAAGCGGAAAAGAGGTAAAATCGTAAAGCATAGAATCAAAGCGTAAAAGTGTAAGTTTTTGACGCATACTGAAAAATAACTAAAAATATATTAAGTAGGACATATGCTATGCAAATTATGAAGGCACATAATTTAGATAAGTTAATAAGTATATGCGATTCATGCTTAAAGTAGAGCAACTTATAGCATCTTAATAATAAGTTCGTAAACATAAATTTTAACGATAAGCCACTTTTCCCTCTATGCTAATGAATTTGGGAAAAGCCTAGCTGGTGAATTAGATTACTCTATTGAAGTTGAGAATGCATCCAAGTACCTAGTATGTATCTTTTAATCTCAAATGTATCATATTGTTAGTGATTTACTTTTAAAAATATACTTTTTATAATTAATTTCATGAAAAAAATATTCATTTAGTGAACTAAAAGCGTAAAAACTTAAAGCGTTTTGTTGAACTAGAAGCGTATAACCGTAAGTTTTTAAGTTTTAAAGCGCAATTTAGTTCGATTTTATACACTTAAGTTTTTATATGGAAATGAAAGCGTTTTGGTGACCCAAAAGCGTCAAATCGTAAATTTTTATGTTTTAAAGCGCGATTTTGACTGCATTGCCTATAAGGTGACAGATCATAAAGTACTTCACCCGAGTTAATGGAATACTCATGTTAGGTTCTGAAGGTGATATAGCAACCTTTCCAGCAAGCAATCCGGTATCTACAATTAATTCTAAGGAAAACTTTCTTTGACACAAAGTTAGTCCCTTAGAACTACGAGCAATCTCAAGGTCAAGAAAAAAACAAAGAGAACCTAAATCCTTGATGTTAAATGGAGCATCAAGATTTTGCTTAATAGTTTTCATCCCGTCTAAATCATCCCCAGTGAGTATCACATCATCAACATAAACTAATAAAGCAAGAAACTTGTTATTAGTATGTTTGGTGAAAAGAGTGTGATCTGCTTTGGCCTGAACAAAACCTTTAGCAAGCAAAAATTAAGTTAGCTTGGATTTCCACTGTCGACTAGCTTGGAGTTCCACTCACCATGCAAACACGCGTTATTAACATCTAACTGTTCAATTTCCCAGCCTTTGACTGAAGCTAAAGATAATAAAGCCCTAACAGGGGTCATCTTAGCTACTGGATAAAACGTTTCTTTATAATCTATGCCTTTAGTCTGAGTATACCCTCTAGCCACTAAGCGAGCCTTAAATCTTTCAACAGTAACCTTTTGCTTTGCATTTTATCCGATAGACCAATTTATACCCTATAGCCTTCTTAGATGAGGGAAGTTACCTTCCATGTGTTAGTAGCAGCCAGAGCATCTAATTCTGCCTGCATCGCTGCTACCCATCGTGGATCCTTAATGGATTCTTCATAGCATGCAGGTTTTGTTTCCTTAGCCATACTCATGGCAAAACTTTTATATGCATCTGCTAAGGAATCAGAAGATAAAACTTGTGAAATTGGGTATTTAACATTTTTGGATGTAGCCACACATGAATAGCATACATATAGCTTAATCTAGCAGGTTTCTGCCGCTGCCTTTGTGGCCTGCCAGCTGGTGCTCGACCATTAATATCGGGTATTGCAAGGTGAATAGCAGGTGGAACAACTAAAGGAATCTCCTGGTTGACCTCGGGTATGTATGAGGAAGAGGATACATATTGATCTAGAAGAAGTTATAGATTAGGGAATGAGAAATCAGAATCAGAAGAGGGATTAAGATTCTTATAAGGGAAAATGTTTTTGTGGAATACGACATCTCTAGACTCGATAGTAGCTAAATCCAGAAGCTTAAAACCTTTCATACCAAAAGGGTAACCAACAAAAACACATGGGGTGGCTCTAAGCTCAAACTTAGGTATGTTATGACTGAGGGTGCTAGCATAAGCTAGACAACCAAAAACTCGTAGATATCATAAATCCCGAGAAGAATTAGTTAGAATACTAAGAGGAGATCTGTTATGAGTTAAAGGAGAAGGAACACGATTAATTAGATGAGTGGCAGGAAGGCCAACAAGACCCCAAAATTTAATAGGCAGCGAGGCTTGAAAAAGAAGAGCACTAGGTACGGTAACAATATGTTGCAACTTCCTTTCCACTCTACCATTCTGTTGAGAGGTTTGAACATAGGACATTTGATGCACAATACCCTTAGAATGATAGAAATTAGGAATATTAAATTCCTGGGCATTATCTGTTCTTATTATCTTAACAATTGAATTATATTGAGTATGAACATATGCACAAAAGTTAATGAGTAATTCCCTAGCTTCATACTTATGCTTGAGAAGATAAACCCAAGTAACACGAGTATGATCATCTAAAAGAGCAAAGAAATAACGATGACCATCCAATGTGGATTCCTTGTAAGGACCCAAACATCATAATGAATCAAATTAAAAGAAACTTTGCTGATAGACTCACTTGAAGCAAATGGTAACGGTTTTTGTTTGGCTAAAGGACACACAGTACAATGAAAGTGATCACTAACTGTAATGGGTACAAAATTAGCATGTAAACCCTTTACTCTAGGATTAGAAGCATGTCCAAGACGATAATGCCACAAATCAAACGAGTTATGTGATGCATCATATGGAGAACATAGTAGATGAGGGATAGTATGTCCAGACAGAGAGTTGCCATGACGAAGATAGTAAAGTCCAGATATCTGTCCATCTATACCAATCGTCTACATAGCTGACAGCTTGTATATAAAACAAGCATGATGAGTGAATGTCAAAGAACAATTATGAGTATTTGTTAACTTGCTTACAGAAAGCAAATTTAACGTGAAAGATGGAATTAGTAAAACATTAGAGATAATCATATTATCATTTAAATGTACTGTGCCTATGTGAGTAACCTTTGCCTTAGAACCATTAGGTAATGCGACAAATGAATTATGCACAATCATAGAATATGCAAACATAGACGAAGAACAAACCACATGGTCAGTAGCTCCAGTGTCTACTAACCATGTTTGTTCTAGAGACTTAGGTGTGTTATTGTCTACTACATATAGGATCATCTTACCTGTAACTTGCTCAAAAGCACTTTGGGAAATAGAGGAGGCGGCCTGTGCTGCAGCAGCATCTCCAAAGAGAGCAGAAGTGGAGTGATTAGCTGGAAGCGAGTTCGAAACCACCATCAAATTAATAGATTAAAGGTTTTGAGCTTGCTGAGGCTGAATGAGAGCCATAAAAGCTTGGTACTGAGCCTTGGAAAGAGTAAATCCCTCAGTGCTATCTTCAGGAAGATCTTCAATAACCTTCTCAACACAAACAACATTGATTGCCTTTCCCTTAGCTTTGTATCCAGGAGGATTTCGGTTTTTCTTGAAACACTTATCGATTGTGTGACCTATGAGATCACAATAGGTACAGATAGGCTTCTTTGAACCATCCTTGTAAAGTCTTCTTCCTTGACCAGACAAAGCACCTTGACTCGATGAAGTACCTTGACAATAAGAAGTTGTGGTTGCTTGAGCATAGTTGCTACCAAACGCCATAGGAGGCTGAGCGGTTGGAATGAAAAAAGAACCATGACGAGATTTGCGTTCTTATTGAACAAATTGAGCAAATACATGATTGATAAGCGACGATAGATCTTGTAGAAGAATCTAAGACCGAAGCGGACCAAACGAGTCTCTCAGACCACGAAGGAATCGAATGATCTGATCAGCATCAACGTAGCTACGAAGTCTTGAGAACGTGCTGCATCAGCACCTAGTGTTGCATGTGAAACCCGGCAGAGGACGAAGAGCAAAAAACTCATCCTAGAGAACCTTGAATTGAGTATAACACTCGGTGACAGTGAGCTTTCCTTGCTAGAAACCATAGATTTCTTCATGCATATATTAAATCCTCACTAGATTAGCTTGACTGAAGTGCTCTTGCAAGTCGAGCCACACTTCCCTCGTAGAATCAAGCCTGAGGATCGACTGAGCAATCGTTGGTCCCAGAGAACGATAAATCCAACCTAGAACCATTAGATTGGTACGCTCCGAAGTCGGAAGCAATGGATCTGCATCTCGAGGACGCAGAGCTTCACCATTGACGAAGACGATCTTGTTCTTCGCTAGCAAGGGCATACACATGGATCTTGCCCAAGAGTGGTAATTTCTGCCATGGAGGAGGGCCGAGACAATGACAAGCACCGGATTCTCGTTCTGATTGAGGAAGTAAGGATGATTTGGATCGAGATACGTCGGAGCAGGATTCGCCATCACGAAGTAGA